ATATACAATCCTCCCTGACGGAATTAAAACTGAAATTTTTCATTTTATTGCCTAGATTAAAAAACAGTCCTTGAGAAGCATTATTTGGAAAGTGCACAATACAGTGTATTAGTAACTGGTCATAGTATTATGGTAGTCATGTGGGACCCCTGCTTTATAACTAAGAAAAATTAAAAGTAGAATATCAGTTTACTTTATGTTTATACTTGCTTCCCTAATCACACACATGACAAGTATTGGTGGCATGTCTTACAGTATAAGGTAAAGTTAAATGTTATACTTGAGACCAACACACTTACTCTAGAGATGTGATTGCTATTTAACCACTAAGGGGATGTGGAGTGACAATACTGCACATCTTCACAGCACCCATCCTGGGGAATCTTGAGTGATACAAACCATGATCGACAAGAGATAAACAGAGATAACATTTTGAATTTTTTCTAACTCAGTCGCTCACTGGGTAAAGACCAAGAAATGAATAATCACTCTGTTAGGTAGTTAGATAAGTGAGGGCACCTGGCAGATAGGTGGGGGAGAGGGAGGATGGTCTGGACGATGGCATTATGCCCACCTCCAGCGTAAAGGGACTTTACTTCTTCTAAATGAGTGTCAGCAAGAAGCCAGCGAGAATCTGGCAGCTCCAACTGCTCGGTAGTGAGAAGGACTTATCCAGACAAGGCCCAGTGCTCATTGTATAATTAACATTGCAGTTTTGGCATCCCCAAAGGGTCTTTCTGTGTACAACGTGGGTAAGGACATGCGCAAAAGGGCCAAACATAACTAAGCACTCCAGGGGCAAAAGCCGCCAATCAATCAAAAGACCACCTCTAAGTGAGGGTGGAAGAGGAAGGGCAGAACCTAATTAAACTTACAAGCTTTTGCACAGCAAAGGAAACCGTAAGTAAAACAAAATGACAACCTAAGGAATGCGAGAAAATGTTGTGCAAAAGATGAAACTGACAAAGGCTTGATCTCCAGAATATACAGCTCGTACAGCTTAATAGGAAAAAAACAAACAACCTGATCTAAAAGTGGGCAGAAGAGCTAAATAAGCAATCCTCTGATGAAGACATACGAATGACCAACAGGCACATGAAAAAATGCTCAGTATCACTAATTATCAGAGAAATGCAAATCAAAACTACAATGAGGTGTCACCTCACACCGGTCAGAATGGCCATCAGTCAAAAGTCTACAAATGATAAATGCTGGAGAGATTGTGGAGAAAAGGGAACCCTCCTACCCTGTTGGTGGGAATGCAATTTGGTGCAGTGCAGTCACTGTGCAAAAAAGTATGGAGATTCCTCAAAAGGCTAAAAACAGACTTACCATATGATCCAGCAATCCCACTCCTGGGCATATATTCAGAAGGAACCCTACTTCAAAAAGACATTTGCACCCCAATGTTCATAGCAGCACTATTTACAATATTTACTCTATTTATAATGGCCAAGACATAGAAACAACCTAAATGTCCATCAACAGACGACTGGATAAATAAGTCATGGTGTATTTACACAATGGAATACTATTCAGCCATAAAAATGACAACATAATGCCGTTTGCAGCAACATGGATGTCCCTGGAGAATGCCATTCTAAGTAAAGCAACCCAGAAAGAGAAAGAAAAATACTATATGATATCACTTATCTGTGGAAACTAAAAAAAAAAAAAACGACCAAATAGTAACTTACATAATAAAACAAGAAACAGACTCACAGACATAGAATACAGACTTGTGACT